AAAAAAAGTCATCAAGGCTTGAGATTTAATCAAATTTACTACTTAACCTTAAGTAAAACTGATTTTTTTATTTCCTTTTAAATTTCTAGCACAATTTGGTGTGACAGCTTTGTTTGGGTTACAGTGCAATAGTTTCACCCAGATGTGTTCTTGCTCTGCCAGTGCAAAGGTCAACAGAGTGAAAAAGAAAATATCTCAGCATCTGTGTGGTTAGCTGCCTGTCCCTGACAAAGTAATCTGAGACAATCAATTTATAAGGAGGAAATGATTTATCACGGTTTACAGTTTCATTCCATGCTAACTTGGCAGTATCATGGTGGGTATATGCAGAGGAAGCTGCTTCTGAGAGAAGGGAGTAAGAAAGGAGAGGGGGAGGGAAAAGGGAGCAGGGATGAGAAACAGAAACTGAGACCGGAGTCCCAATATTCTCTTTAAAGCCATGTGCCTCAGTTCTCTTCAAAGGGTCTCTACCTAATGGTTTCATCACCTCCCAGGAGAAACATGGGTTGGTCACTCAGATTTAGCGCAGGGGCCTTTGGAAAGATTGAAGACCCAAGATACAGCACAGTGTGAAGATAGTGATCTTTACATGGTCTACTGGATCTTACATGGACTGTATGTGAAGAACTGACGAACTATTCTGCTTTTTCTTGTATTTGACAATAATTTATGAAGCGCAACTGGTATACACACACACACATATATATACACACCAATACATGCATACAACATAGATTAAACAAAATTAATGTATCATTTTGATCTCTTTTTGTGGTAAGGCTTACAATATATTCTTTCAGAAATTCTGAAACACACACTGTACTATTGTCATCGTGTAGCACAATGGATCACCAAAACTCATTCTAATGGAAACCCTGTTGTACCCTGTACTAAGGCCGCCTCTCCTCCCCCACTGCCCTAGCTTCTGGTGACACCTCCCTCCCCCACTGCCCTAGCTTCTGGTGACACCTCCCTCCCCCACTGCCCTAGCTTCTGGTGAGCTACTCTTCCCTTCTATGAGTTCAGCTTGCTAACACACTATTCATTATCCTTCCTAGTCACACACATCCTGCTTCTATTTGCTTTCCTCCTCCTTTTGCCTACAATAGTGTTAACTAGCTGACAAATGACAAAATCTCTCTTTGTGTGTGTGTGGCGGGGGGGGGGGGGGGGGGGGGGGG